TATTTATTATTAAATTCTCCATTTCCTACATGTAACAACCATTTGTTAAAATTTATATCAATATTTAATAATCTTAGATTTTCAGTTAATGTTAAACATTCAAAATTTAACCACAATTCATTTTTTTAACACAGTTATTTACAGTCTGTGTTCTACCTCCATGTTTAACAATTGGTTTTTTGTTCATTTTCATTGTGAACAGATAATCTGTAAATCGTATCTCTTTTCATAATCATTTTAATTTCTCGAGGTAGATTATTATTATTAGTAGCAAATTCTTGTTCTTCTTTTTCTACTTCGTACATCATTTTGTACGCTTTAGCATAAGGGTTAATTTTTCTGATAAACTTATCTAAATTAGATAAATTATCATTTCTGCAGTTATTATTAATATCTTTACGACTTTGTGTAGCAAATTCATTGTCAATTATATACAGTTGACCATACTTTCTGCATTCATTTTCTTTGGGATGTAATGAATATGTGTTATGGTAAATTTGACCACAAATTTTAAAGACTTAAGGACCTTTATTTTGTAGAGAAACATATGTTGCACCAAAGCTTGCGAACGCTATTGTATTGTTGTAGCCTCTTATACATTTTTTATAATGTTTACTAATTGCAGTTTGACCGCAAAAATTGAAGCAAAGTTGAAAGCCATCGCTATATATTAGAATTAGGGTTTATGAATATTCTAAGTTTGCAAGTAACAAATTAGTAAACTGGTTGCTAAAATAGCAAAATAACGCCACAAACGCGAAATACGTATTAATATTAATTTTGAAAAAATAAGCAATATAATAAAGGGATAAATCGTACAATTAATTTTTAACAAAAACCTGATTATAATGGTAAAGTAAGAAATAAAGAAGTAAAAACTATAAAAAATTAGCGTCAGTGCTAAAAATATTAATAATAGATAAATAAAATAAGTTATATACAGGTCGATAATGGGATATAACTATCATACCAATAAAGAAACGTATAACAAAATACAATATATTAGATATTTAAGACTATCTGTCTATTGGGTAAATTCGAAAGGGGTTTAAATGATTACTAAAAGGGTATAAGATAATATTTAAAAAAAGGGACTAGTGATAAATGGAATTATAGAATTTTTTTTTAAAATAGGGTTAAGAAAACTAAGATTAAAAAAAATAGAAAACTTCATTCAAATATTCATATACTGTTAAAATTGATTCAATATAAAATATGCCTTGAAAAGTTTTTATTCAATGGGAACTAATGCTAAAAAAATGTAATTCAACAATTAAAAAATATAACTTTTGATGGTGGTTTAGATTAAAATTGAAAGAAAAAAATGAGAATATAAGAAACGATATTTTTAATAATTTCAAAAAAATAATATCGTTACATTTGAGCTAAAAAATGATATAATATAAGAAGTACCAAAAACAAAATATATTAAATTTTTTTGGACTTTTGCATTGTAAAATTTGCTTTATAGCGAATAGGATTAAAAAATCATATTTAACATAGTAACCGCATGATAATCATTATTAAATATAAACTACAATAATAAATTTTTTAACAAGTGGGGTAAATGTGTTTGCTAAGACATAAATTATTGTTTTCACAATTATATAAATGTAGTTTAATAAAATATAAATAAATATAGTAACAAATCAGGAAATATTATAATTTATAGAATAATAAGAAAATATTGTGTACTTTAAAATTCATACAAAGCTCATTTAGTTAATATAAAACAAATTTAATAAAAATCAAACAAAAAAGGTCTGATAAAATTATATTATCAAAATAAATAAAAGATAACATACAACATATGCAATTAAAAACAATAAAATAAATAAGTAAATCTAGTCAGATTTGTTCAAATTTACATTATATTTTCAAAAGAAAAAAAAAGAAAGATTTTTTAAAACTGTTGTAAAAATAATCTTATTAAAAATAATTCAGAGAAAAAAAGTACAGACTGTCAAGGGACGACGGCCCATAAAAAAGAGTGGGGTATGAAATACCACATTTATAAATATTTTTTTTTCTTTTTTTTCACGTAAAAATAAATTTTTATTCTATTTTTTTCTCCCAATATTTTTTTTCTTTTTAAATATTGAGACGTCTAAAAATTAAATAAAAACATATTTCAGTTAATATATTAAATTTTTTAATCACACATACACATATATTCTTAATAAACAAATTTGTCTCATATATATACACATGAAAAAAAATTAAACATTTTTACATTCTCATCACATGAGAAGGTATTATAATTGGTCGAAAATTGACTTTTACTATTTCCATGACATCTTTACGTTTTGAGGTGCCCTAAGTCGAAAAAACATGGTCCGGCGAAAGTGTCTGTCTGTGTGTCTGTATGTATGTATGTATGTATGTATGTATGTATGTATGTATGTATGTATGTATGTACGTATGTAGACACAAAATGTTGTTGACACAATAACTTTTGTAAATCGAAACAAATCGTTTTGCAATTTTGCATACACAAAGTTAGTATCAAAATACAGGTTAAGTTCGTTAGCCAGCCATTTTCATCAAAAAATGCAAAAACTGCGGGATTTTCAAAATTTCGAAATTTAATTTTTTTTAAAAAAAATTTTTTTTCTCTACACAGCATTACAGTCCAGGAAAAAGAAAACATTTTTTTTAAATAAAATTTTTTGATTAAATTAAAATTGTAAAAGTTACAGTGGTTTCATTGTCGAAAAACACCTAAAAAACGCCAAAAAAGACATTTTTTATGAAAAATTTAATTTTATTAATAGGGTGAAAAAAATCAGTCCATAAAATAGACACATTCTCATCATAATAGACTCAGAAAATATGATACAAGTGAAAAAAATATCAATTTAGAAAAAAACCACTCTATATACATATTATTTATATTTTTTTACACAAAAATCAGAATTTCTCACTCAATTATCTTGTAATGTATTCATCTTGGCATAATGACCCCAGAGACTTTTTTCTTCAAAATTTTATCAGCTACAACTTTCCCATTAAACATTATTCTCTATCTCTTTACGTTTTTAAGATTTTATTGAAAAAAGCATTTATTTTTACATTCTCATCACATGAGAAGGTATTATAATTGGTCGAAAATTGACTTTTACTATTTCCATGACATCTTTACGTTTTGAGGTGCCCTGAGTCGAAAAAACATGGTCCGGCGAAAGTGTCTGTCTGTGTGTCTGTATGTAAGTATGTATGTATGTATGTATGTACGTATGTAGACACAAAATGTTGTTGACACAATAACTTTTGTAAATCGAAACAAATCGTTTTGCAATTTTGCATACACAAAGTTAGTATCAAAATACAGGTTAAGTTCGTTAGCCAGCCATTTTCATCAAAAAATGCAAAAACTGCGGGATTTTCAAAATTTTGAAATTTAATTTTTTGAAAAAAAAAATTTTTTTCTCTACACAGCATTACAGTCCAGGAAAAAGAAAACATTTTTTTTACATAAAATTTTTTGATTAAATTAAAATTGTGAAAGTTACAGTGGTTTCATTGTCGAAAAACACCTAAAAAACGCCAAAAAAGACATTTTTTATGAAAAATTTAATTTTATTAATGGGGTGAAAAAAATCAGTCCATAAAATAGACACATTCTCATCATAATAGACTCAGAAAATGATACAAGTGAAAAAAATATCAATTTAGAAAAAAACCACTCACACTTGGCTTCAAGTAGATTTAGGTTTTGCAAAAATGGTGACGAAATCGGGAAGTGGCATGTTATTCCTCTTTATTTAAAGGTTTAAAAAACGTAAAGACCAAAATCTTAGCTGATCCTTTTCTCAAGTTATTGTCAAATTAAAATTTTTTTAACGAAATTTATAAAAGATAATAAGAGAATAATTATTGCACATTAGTTTAATTAAAAAATTTAATGTTTTAGTAACAATTAACTATCTTAAAAATAACAACGAAGATATTTTTCTTAATTATTTTAGTTTTAATTAACAAATTTAACACATTGGAATCATCGACAATTTTCTCAAAGGCGTTTTGAAGAGAACTCGATTACTGCTTTTTTGAATCGAATTAAATAGGTAGGATGGTCAATCAAATTAATTTTGTAACGCTCCCAAAACTTTAAAAATTCTCGGTGAATTGATTCACCAGCTTGTTCTGACCACAAATCTAAACCACGATTTCCTAAAAAACTCAAACTTTCTTGAATGTGTGATGTTTTTGCAAAACCTAAATCTACTTGAAGCCAAGTGTGCTTCGGGTACGGAAGCTACCGAAACTTTAAAAATCCATGTCGCAGTATCACACATTCAAGAAAGTTTGAGTTTTTTAGGAAATCGTGGTTTAGGTTTGTGGTCAGAACAGGCTGGTGAATCAATTCACCGAGAATTTTTAAAGTTTTGGGAGCGTTACAAAATTAATTTGATTGACCATCCTACCTATTTAATTCGATTCAAAAAAGCAGTAATCGAGTTCTGCCGTCCCAACAAGAGTAGCAGTAACTACATTTTGGTTAAGTCACTTATTGGTGGCAGTGGCAGTGGCAAGTAGGTGACTCATCCTAAATGCAGATACGGTTATTCTTGTTGGGGCGGCAGAGTTCTCTTCAAAACACCTTTGAGAAAATTGTTGATGATTCCAATGTGTTAAATTTGTTAATTAAAACTAAAATAATTAAGAAAATATATCTTCGTTGTTATTTTTAAGATAGTTAATTGTTACTAAAACATTAAATTTTTTAATTAAACTAATGTTCAATAATTATTCTCTTATTATCTTATATAAATTTCGTTAAAAAAATTTTAATTTGACAATAACTTGAGAAAAGGATCAGCTAAGATTTTGGTCTTTACGTTTTTTAAACCTTTAAATAAAGAGGAATAACATGCCACTTCCTGATTTCATCACCATTTTTGCAAAACCTAAATCTACTTGAAGCCAAGTGTGGCACTCTATATACATATTATTTATATTTTTTTACACAAAAATCAGAATTTCTCACTCAATTATCTTGTAATGTATTTATCTTGGCATAATGACCCCAGAGACTTTTTTCTTCAAAATTTTATCAGCTACAACTTTCCCATTAAACATTATTCTCTATCTCTTTACGTTTTTAAGATTTTAATGAAAAAAGCATTTATTTTTACATTCTCATCACATGAGAAGGTATTATAATTGGTCGAAAATTGACTTTTACTATTTCTATGAAATCTTTACGTTTTGAGGTGCCCTGAGTCGAAAAAACATGGTCCGGCGAAAGTGTCTGTCTGTGTGTCTGTATGTATGTATGTATGTATGTATGTATGTATGTATGTACGTATGTAGACACAAAATGTTGTTGACACAATAACTTTTGTAAATCGAAACAAATCGTTTTGCAATGTTGCATACACAAAGTTAGTATCAAAATACAGGTTAAGTTCGTTAGCCAGCCATTTTCATCAAAAAATGCAAAAACTGCGGGATTTTCAAAATTTTGAAATTTAATTTTTTTAAAAAAAAAGTTTTTTTCTCTACACAGCATTACAGTCCAGGAAAAAGAAAACACTTTTTTTAACTAAAATTTTTTGATTAAATTAAAATTGTAAAAGTTACAGTGGTTTCATTGTCGAAAAACACTTAAAAAACGCCAAAAAAGACATTTTTTATGAAAAATTTAATTTTATTAATGGGGTGAAAAAAATCAGTCCATAAAATAGACACATTCTCATCATAATAGACTCAGAAAATGATACAAATGAAAAAATATCAATTTAGAAAAAAACCACTCTATATACATATTATTTATATTTTTTTACACAAAAATCAGAATTTCTCACTCAATTATCTTGTAATGTATTCATCTTGGCATAATGACCCCACAGACTTTTTTCTTCAAAATTTTATCAGCTACAACTTTCCCATTAAACATTATTCTCTATCTCTTTACGTTTTTAAGATTTTAATGAAAAAAGCATTTATTTTTACATTCTCATCACATGAGAAGGTATTATAATTGGTCGAAAATTGACTTTTACTATTTCCATGACATCTTTACGTTTTGAGGTGCCCTGAGTCGAAAAAACATGGTCCGGCGAAAGTGTCTGTCTCTGTGTCTGTATGTATGTATGTATGTAAGTATGTATGTATGTATGTATGTATGTATGTATGTACGTATGTAGACACAAAATTTTGTTGACACAATAACTTTTGTAAATCGAAACAAATTGTTTTGCAATTTTGCATACACAAAGTTAGTATCAAAATACAGGTTAAGTTCGTTAGCCAGCCATTTTCATCAAAAAATGCAAAAACTGCGGGATTTTCAAAATTTTGAAATTTAATTTTTAAAAAAAAAAAATTTTTTTCTCTACACAGCATTAGAGTCCAGGAAAAAGAAAACATTTTTTTTAAATAAAATTTTTTGATTAAATTAAAATTGTAAAAGTTACAGTGGTTTCATTGTCGAAAAACACCTAAAAAACGCCAAAAAAGACATTTTTTATGAAAAATTTAATTTTATTAATGGGGTGAAAAAAATCAGTCCATAAAATAGACACATTCTCATCATAATAGTCTCAGAAAATATGATACAAGTGAAAAAAATATCAATTTAGAAAAAAACCACTCTATATACATATTATTTATATTTTTTTACACAAAAATCAGAATTTCTCACTCAATTATCTTGTAATGTATTCATCTTGGCATAATGACCCCAGAGACTTTTTTCTTCAAAATTTTATCAGCTACAACTTTCCCATTAAACATTATTCTCTATCTCTTTACGTTTTTAAGATTTTAATGAAAAAAGCATTTATTTTTACATTCTCATCACATGAGAAGGTATTATAATTGGTCGAAAATTGACTTTTACTATTTCCATGAAATCTTTACGTTTTGAGGTGCCCTGAGTCGAAAAAACATGGTCCGGCGAAAGTGTCTGTCTGTGTGTCTGTTTGTATGTATGTATGTATGTATGTATGTATGTATGTACGTATGTAGACACAAAATGTTGTTGACACAATAACTTTTGTAAATCGAAACAAATCGTTTTGCAATTTTGCATACACAAAGTTAGTATCAAAATACAGGTTAAGTTCGTTAGCCAGCCATTTTCATCAAAAAATGCAAAAACTGCGGGATTTTCAAAATTTTGAAATTTAATTTTTTTAAAAAAAAAATTTTTTTCTCTACACAGCATTACAGTCCAGGAAAAAGAAAACACTTTTTTTAAATAAAATTTTTTGATTAAATTAAAATTGTAAAAGTTACAGTGGTTTCATTGTCGAAAAACACTTAAAAAACGCCAAAAAAGACATTTTTTATGAAAAATTTAATTTTATTAATGGGGTGAAAAAAATCAGTCCATAAAATAGACACATTCTCATCATAATAGACTCATAAAATGATACAAGTGAAAAAAATATCAATTTAGAAAAAAACCACTCTATATACATATTATTTATATTTTTTTACACAAAAATCAGAATTTCTCACTCAATTATCTTGTAATGTATTCATCTTGGCATAATGACCCCACAGACTTTTTGCTTCAAAATTTTATCAGCTACAACTTTCCCATTAAACATTATTCTCTATCTCTTTACGTTTTTAAGATTTTAATGAAAAAAGCATTTATTTTTACATTCTCATCACATGAGAAGGTATTATAATTGGTCGAAAATTGACTTTTACTATTTCCATGACATCTTTACGTTTTGAGGTGCCCTGAGTCGAAAAAACATGGTCCGGCGAAAGTGTCTGTCTCTGTGTCTGTATGTATGTATGTATGTAAGTATGTATGTATGTATGTATGTACGTATGTAGACACAAAATTTTGTTGACACAATAACTTTTGTAAATCGAAACAAATTGTTTTGCAATTTTGCATACACAAAGTTAGTATCAAAATACAGGTTAAGTTCGTTAGCCAGCCATTTTCATCAAAAAATGCAAAAACTGCGGGATTTTCAAAATTTTGAAATTTAATTTTTAAAAAAAAAAAATTTTTTTCTCTACACAGCATTACAGTCCAGGAAAAAGAAAACATTTTTTTTAAATAAAATTTTTTGATTAAATTAAAATTGTAAAAGTTACAGTGGTTTCATTGTCGAAAAACACCTAAAAAACGCCAAAAAAGACATTTTTTATGAAAAATTTAATTTTATTAATGGGGTGAAAAAAATCAGTCCATAAAATAGACACATTCTCATCATAATAGTCTCAGAAAATATGATACAAGTGAAAAAAATATCAATTTAGAAAAAAACCACTCTATATACATATTATTTATATTTTTTTACACAAAAATCAGAATTTCTCACTCAATTATCTTGTAATGTATTCATCTTGGCATAATGACCCCACAGACTTTTTGCTTCAAAATTTTATCAGCTACAACTTTCCCATTAAACATTATTCTCTATCTCTTTACGTTTTTAAGATTTTAATGAAAAAAGCATTTATTTTTACATTCTCATCACATGAGAAGGTATTATAATTGGTCGAAAATTGACTTTTACTATTTCCATGAAATCTTTACGTTTTGAGGTGCCCTGAGTCGAAAAAACATGGTCCGGCGAAAGTGTCTGTCTGTGTGTCTGTTTGTATGTATGTATGTATGTATGTATGTATGTATGTATGTACGTATGTAGACACAAAATGTTGTTGACACAATAACTTTTGTAAATCGAAACAAATCGTTTTGCAATTTTGCATACACAAAGTTAGTATCAAAATACAGGTTAAGTTCGTTAGCCAGCCATTTTCATCAAAAAATGCAAAAACTGCGGGATTTTCAAAATTTTGAAATTTAATTTTTTTAAAAAAAAAATTTTTTTCTCTACACAGCATTACAGTCCAGGAAAAAGAAAACACTTTTTTTAAATAAAATTTTTTGATTAAATTAAAATTGTAAAAGTTACAGTGGTTTCATTGTCGAAAAACACCTAAAAAACGCCAAAAAAGACATTTTTTATGAAAAATTTAATTTTATTAATAGGGTGAAAAAAATCAGTCCATAAAATAGACACATTCTCATCATAATAGACTCAGAAAATATGACACAAGTGAAAAAAATTGGGATCAGAAATCACGCGAAACTGACCCACCCCTGAGCCTTTTTGTGACAACCATCTTGGTTTTTTATCTCTTTCTTTTGTATATGTTAGAGAAACACGGAATGAAAACATGGCCACCACAACAAGGCTCTCACCAGATGGCGTATCGCAGTATTTCAGATCCCAATATCAATTTAGAAAAAAACCACTCTATATATATATAATATTATTTATATTTTTTTACACAAAAATCAGAATTTCTCACTCAATTATCTTGTAATGTATTCATCTTAGCATAATGACCCCAGAGACTTTTTTCTTCAAAATTTTATCAGCTACAACTTTCCCATTAAACATTATTCTCTATCTCTTTACGTTTTTAAGATTTTAATGAAAAAAGCATTTATTTTTACATTCTCATCACATGAGAGGGTATTATAATTGGTCGAAAATTGACTTTTACTATTTGCATGACATCTTTACGTTTTGAGGTGGCCTGAGTCGAAAAAACATGGTCCGGCGAAAGTGTCTGTCTGTGTGTCTGTATGTATGTATGTATGTAAGTATGTATGTATGTATGTATGTATGTACGTCTGTTAATGGGGTGAAAAAAATCAGTCCATAAAATAGACACATTCTCATCATAATAGACTCAGAAAATATGATACAAGTGAAAAAAATATCAATTTAGAAAAAAACCACTCTATATACATATTATTTATATTTTTTTACACAAAAATCAGAATTTCTCACTCAATTATCTTGTAATGTATTCATCTTGGCATAATGACCCCACAGACTTTTTTCTTCAAAATTTTATCAGCTACAACTTTCCCATTAAACATTATTCTCTATCTCTTTACGTTTTTAAGATTTTAATGAAAAAAGCATTTATTTTTACATTCTCATCACATGAGAAGGTATTATAATTGGTCGAAAATTGACTTTTACTATTTCCATGAAATCTTTACGTTTTGAGGTGCCCTGAGTCGAAAAAACATGGTCCGGCGAAAGTGTCTGTCTGTGTGTCTGTTTGTATGTATGTATGTATGTATGTATGTATGTACGTATGTAGACACAAAATGTTGTTGACACAATAACTTTTGTAAATCGAAACAAATCGTTTTGCAATTTTGCATACACAAAGTTAGTATCAAAATATAGGTTAAGTTCGTTAGCCAGCCATTTTCATCAAAAAATGCAAAAACTGCGGGATTTTCAAAATTTTGAAATTTAATTTTTAAAAAAAAAATTTTTTTTTCTCTACACAGCATTACAGTCCAGGAAAAAGAAAACATTTTTTTTAAATAAAATTTTTTGATTAAATTAAAATTGTAAAAGTTACAGTGGATTCATTGTCGAAAAACACCTAATAAACGCCAAAAAAGACATTTTTTATGAAAAATTTAATTTTATTAATGGGGTGAAAAAAATCAGTCCATAAAACAGACACATTCTCATCATAATAGACTCAGAAAATATGATACAAGTGAAAAAATATCAATTTAGAAAAAAACCACTCTATATACATATTATTTATATTTTTTTACACAAAAATCAGAATTTCTCACTCAATTATCTTGTAATGTATTCATCTTGGCATAATGACCCCACAGACTTTTTTCTTCAAAATTTTATCAGCTACAACTTTCCCATTAAACATTATTCTCTATCTCTTTACGTTTTTAAGATTTTAATGAAAAAAGCATTTATTTTTACATTCTCATCACATGAGAAGGTATTATAATTGGTCGAAAATTGACTTTTACTATTTCCATGAAATCTTTACGTTTTGAGGTGCCCTGAGTCGAAAAAACATGGTCCGGCGAAAGTGTCTGTCTGTGTGTCTGTTTGTATGTATGTATGTATGTATGTACGTATGTAGACACAAAATGTTGTTGACACAATAACTTTTGTAAATCGAAACAAATCGTTTTGCAATTTTGCATACACAAAGTTAGTATCAAAATACAGGTTAAGTTCGTTAGCCAGCCATTTTCATCAAAAAATGCAAAAACTGCGGGATTTTCAAAATTTTGAAATTTAATTTTTAAAAAAAAAATTTTTTTTTCTCTACACAGCATTACAGTCCAGGAAAAAGAAAACATTTTTTTTAAATAAAATTTTTTGATTAAATTAAAATTGTAAAAGTTACAGTGGTTTCATTGTCGAAAAACACCTAATAAACGCCAAAAAAGACATTTTTTATGAAAAATTTAATTTTATTAATGGGGTGAAAAAAATCAGTCCATAAAACAGACACATTCTCATCATAATAGACTCAGAAAATATGATACAAGTGAAAAAATATCAATTTAGAAAAAAACCACTCTATATACATATTATTTATATTTTTTTACACAAAAATCAGAATTTCTCACTCAATTATCTTGTAATGTATTCATCTTGGCATAATGACCCCAGAGACTTTTTTCTTCAAAATTTTATCAGCTACAACTTTCCCATTAAACATTATTCTCTATCTCTTTACCTTTTTAAGATTTTAATTAAAAAAGCATTTATTTTTACATTCTCATCACATGAGAAGGTATTATAATTGGTCGAAAATTGACTTTTACTATTTCCATGAAATCTTTACGTTTTGAGGTGCCCTGAGTCGAAAAAACATGGTCCGGCGAAAGTGTCTGTCTGTGTGTCTGTATGTATGTATGTATGTATGTATGTATGTATGTATGTATGTATGTATGCATGTATGTATGTATGTACGTATGTAGACACAAAATGTTGTTGACACAATAACTTTTGTAAATCGAAACAAATCGTTTTGCAATTTTGCATACACAAAGTTAGTATCAAAATACAGGTTAAGTTCGTTAGCCAGCCATTTTCATCAAAAAATGCAAAAACTGCGGGATTTTCAAAATTTTGAAATTTAATTTAAAAAAAAAAAAATTTTTTTTCTCTACACAGCATTACAGTCCAGGAAAAAGAAAACATTTTTTTTAAATAAAATTTTTTGATTAAATTAAAATTGTAAAAGTTACAGTGGTTTCATTGTCAAAAAACACCAAAAAAACGCTAAAAAAGACATTTTTTATGAAAAATTTAATTTTATTAATGGGGTGAAAAAAATTAGTCCATAAAATAGACACATTCTCATCATAATAGACTCAGAAAATATGATACAAGTGAAAAAAATATCAATTTAGAAAAAAACCACTCTATATACATATTATTTATATTTTTTTACACAAAAATCAGAATTTCTCACTCAATTATCTTGTAATGTATTCATCTTGGCATAATGACCCCAGAGACTTTTTTCTTCAAAATTTTATCAGCTACAACTTTCCCATGAAACATTATTCTCTATCTCTTTACGTTTTTAAGATTTTAATTAAAAAAGCATTTATTTTTACATTCTCATCACATGAGAAGGTATTATAATTGGTCGAAAATTGACTTTTACTATTTCCATGAAATCTTTACGTTTTGAGGTGCCGTGAGTCGAAAAAACATGGTCCGGCGAAAGTGTTTGTCTGTGTGTCTGTATGTATGTATGTATGTATGTATGTATGTATGCATGTATGTACGTATGTAGACACGAAATGTTGTTGACACAATAACTTTTGTAAATCAAAACAAATCGTTTTGCAATTTTGCATACACAAAGTTAGTATAAAAATACAGGTTAAGTTCGTTAGCCAGCCATTTTCATCAAAAAATGCAAAAACTGAGGGATTTTCAAAATTTTGAAATTTAATTTTTTTTAAAAAAAAATTTTTTTCTCTACACAGCATTACAGTCCAGGAAAAAAAAAAAAATTTTTTTTTAAATAAAATTTTTTGATTAAATTAAAATTGTAAAAGTTACAGTGGTTTCATTGTCGAAAAACACCTAAAAAACGCCAAAAAAGACATTTTTTATGAAAAATTTAATTTTATTAATGGGGTGAAAAAAATTAGTCCATAAAATAGACACATTCTCATCATAATAGACTCAGAAAATATGATACAAGTGAAAAAAATATCAATTTAGAAAAAAACCACTCTATATACATATTATTTATATTTTTTTACACAAAAATCAGAATTTCTCACTCAATTATCTTGTAATGTATTCATCTTGGCATAATGACCCCAGAGACTTTTTTCTTCAAAATTTTATCAGCTACAACTTTCCCATTAAACATTATTCTCCATCTCTTTACGTTTTTAAGGTTTTAATGAAAAAAGCATTTATTTTTACATTCTCATCACATGAGAAGGTATTATAATTGGTCGAAAATTGACTTTTACTATTTCCATGACATCTTTACGTTTTGAGGTGCCCTGAGTCGAAAAAACATGGTCCGGCGAAAGTGTCTGTCTGTGTGTCTGTATGTATGTATGTATGTAAGTATGTATGTATGTATGTATGTACGTATGTAGACACAAAATGTTGTTGACACAATAACTTTTGTAAATCGAAACAAATCGTTTTGCAATTTTGCATACACAAAGTTAGTATCAAAATACAGGTTAAGTTCGTTAGCCAGCCATTTTCATCAAAAAATGCAAAAACTGCGGGATTTTCAAAATTTTGAAATTTAATTTAAAAAAAAAAAAATTTTTTTCTCTACACAGCATTACAGTCCAGGAAAAAGAAAACATTTTTTTTAAATAAAATTTTTTGATTAAATTAAAATTGTAAAAGTTACAGTGGTTTCATTGTCGAAAAACACCTAAAAAACGCCAAAAAAGACATTTTTTATTAAAATTTAATTTTATTAATGGGGTGAAAAAAATCAGTCCATAAAATAGACACATTCTCATCATAATAGAATCAGAAAATTTGATACAAGTGAAAAAAATATCAATTTAGAAAAAAACCACTCCATGTACATATTATTTATATTTTTTTACACAAAAATCAGAATTTCTCACTCAATTATCTTGTAATGTATTTATCTTGGCATAATGACCCCAGAGACTTTTTTCTTCAAAATTTTATCAGCTACAATTTTCCCATTAAACATTATTCTCTATCTCTTTACGTTTTTAAGATTTTAATGAAAAAAGCATTTATTTTTACATTCTCATCACATCCCTATCGAAAATTCCGACATCGGAACATAGATTGTAGCCTACATCTGAAACGTTATCTAAATTCATATAGGAAACTATATCGGGAACCATATGGGATGCTATATCGGAAACTATACAGGAATCGATGTTGGAAATTGGGACAGGCAAAGATGTATTTTGCCATATAGTTTCCGATATGGTTTCTACCCAGTTGAAAATTCCGACCTCGTTTACGACGTCGTATTCTAAGTAGTTTGCGACGTAGTAAACGACGTAGAAAACGACATAGTAGCAAACTACGTCGTTTTCGATGTTGCAAAAATTATTTTAATATTATTTATTTAGTAATTTAGTAAGTCCAATATCCAATATTAAAAATTTTAATAATAATTTAAAAAATCAATAATTTAAAAAAAATTTATTTTTATTATTTTTTAATAGTTATTATTATTATTTTATTTTTAATATTTAAATTAAAATAAAAAAATTATCATCAAAATATTAGTGAAACCATTTCTTCCAAAAAAGAATTTGTCTCAAATCCAATAAAGGAGAGACATCGCGGGAAGAAAAAAATTTCGACAAAAAAAAAATTTTCGATCACTGCTTATATACCAATCTAATGGCACCTCAACTGCGAGAAACAGTTATGATGTTCGCCCTCCCTGTGGCGTTGAGCGAACTTAAGTCCAGAGCTGAGCCATCAGCGCAGCGCGGAAACATTTGAAAAATTTGATTTTATTAGATATTTTATTTTATTTTAAATATGACAAATAATTAACTTAATAAATAATTAATGTCATAAATAATTATTAATAACATAATGTCATACTTAATAATTCGTTAATTAATTATTTTTAACGAAAATTTGACAAAAAAAAAATTTGTTGGACAAAAAAAATATTACCATTAAAAAATAATTTTTTTGTTAAATTTTTGTAGTAAAAAAAATTTTTTCAAGATCACTAACTACACACACTGGAAAAAAATTCGCTTTGGTCCCGAAGATACTTTTTGAGATAATTAAGTTTAAACTTTTCACAATTTTTATCAGGTTAATACATGTAGTTTTTTAAGGACGAAGTTAGGTTTTATTGGTTAAACATTTTGAACTAACTTCAATTTTATAAAAATCACATGCATTAACCTGATTAAAATTGTGAAAAATTTAAACATAATTATCTCAAAAAATATCTTTGGGACCAAAGCGAATTTTTTTCCAGTGTGTGTAGTTAGTGATCAATTAGATATTGCCCAAGTTTTGTAATTTTTCAGTTTTCTCCAAGAAAGTTATTTACATTTGAAAATAGTGAAAATAAGCAAAGTGCCAATTTTTATTGCTTTTTATTTCACATTTATGAAGAAAAAAGGAAAAAAGTGCTAAGAAAAACTAAAAGTTAGTCACAGGTACTTTATATTTGGTAAGGTTTTTTTCAATTTAATGACTTCTCTTTCTCACATTTAATAGATGAAATTTGCAAATTTAGGTTATTTGTCAGGCGAACTTGAAAATCATATTTTATATATTATTTCACATATTTAAATAATTACATCAATTGATAATGATAAATTTATTCATTCTTAGTAAATTACAACAATTTTTTTTTATTTTTATGGTAAATTCTACGTATTTTTGCATATTTTCTAATGGCTAAAAAATTGACAGTTTTCAGCACCTCATATACTTTAAATTCATATTTTGCAATAAATAATTAAAATTTTAATAAAATTCTTTTCATTTCGTGATCTTGATAACTTCAAAATCATTCCTGCAAAGTATTATAATTTTTAAAAATTAGTCAGCGACGACTTCTTTCAAAATATAATGGATTGACCCAGCACAGAAAAAATTTCACCATGAGAAAATAATTTTTTTAAAATTTTATTTGTAAAAAATTTATTGGTAGCTCAAAAAAAAATATCACGATGAGAAAATAATTTTTTGTCAAATTTTCTCTGTAAATAAATTAATTAACTAAATAACGTACCGTAAAACGGGGTTATTTCGCTCATTGCGGGTAAATTCGCTCACCCACTTTTATGCTTTATTTCAGCTTTAAAATAAAGTTTAATACATTTATTAGCAGGTTAAATTTTCGTAGTAAAAAAATTAATTAACTAATTATTAAGCTAACTAGCAAAATTAAACGCGCGCAAGCGCGCCAAATTGAGGATTTAATTATTTGTTATAAAGAAATTAAAGATTAATATTATTAATAATAATTTAATTTATTAGAATATTATAACATATTAAATGATAATAATGAAAATTATATGTTTACAGGCCTCGGATTATACGACTTTTTCCGACTTTTTTCAAAACTACGACTTTTATCGACTTATTTTAATAAAATGCGACATTTTTTTTACATTTGAAAAAAATGTAAATAAAATACATTTTTTTTGTATAAAATGTAGATCTTCTTCAGATCTTCTTCAATTCAATTATTTAACAAATGAACTAAAATGATTCTTCACTAAATTAATTATTTTTAATAATTTTAATTAAATACATCACAAATTCAATTATATCAAAATTATTTGTCAATTAAAATTTTTATGAAATTTAACAATTGTTTATAATTTAAAAAAAATATCAGAATAAAATTGAATTATTTTTTAAAAATTTCAATTCAAAAAAAAATAAAATTCAATTATTACCCGAAATTTTAATTCAAAATCAATTAAAATTCAATAATTATCCAAAATTTTCAATTTAAAATTTAATTATTTACCAAGTTTTCAATTTAAAATGAAATAAAATTCAATTATTTTCTAAAATTTCTATTTAAAATTAATTATCCAAATTTTCAATCAAAAATGAACTTAAATTAAATTATTATCCAAAATTTCAATTAAAATTCAATTATTTCCCAAAATTTTCAATTAAAAATGAACTGAAATTCAATTATTTTCCAAATTTAAAATCAAATAAAATTTCATTATTCTCAAAAATTTGAATTCAAAATTAATTGAATTTTCAATAATTTGAATTTAAAAGCATCTAAAATTTCTAAAATTTTCCATCGAAATTTTTTTTTTTTTGAAATTTAATAATTTCAATTATAACTCTAAGGAAATTCAATTATTTTTAACTATTTTAATAATATTCTTTGAAAATTCAACTATCTGAAACCATTTTTCAATTAAAAATGATTTTCAAATTATTGTATTTTGTCCGCATTTTCTAATAAATTTTTAGTGAAATCATCTAAAATTTTAATTACAAAACACTTAAAGTTTCAATTAATTTCAAAAATCTCAATTTTAAATCTTTGAAAATTCAATTAAATTTAAAAAATGTTTTCCAAAAATTGTTTGATAAATTATTTTTAGTTCTGTAAAATTTAATAATTGTTTGAAAATTAACAATATCTTTTGAAATTTAATTATTTCTAAAAATTTCAACTTTAACCCTTCGAAAAGGATTATTATTAAAAAAAAAAATTTTATTTAAAAACCTGTAAAACATTTTTGTTAAAATGAAAAACAAATCCACTTTTTTTTGGAATATAAATCGACTAAAACGACTGTTTTGTGTCTTTAAGTTGATTCGAGGCCTGTGTTTTTATAATTAATATTTAATAGGTAATCGTTGGCCCCTGGTACCTTAAAAATAAATTTTTTTCAAATTACTATCTTGTACGAAATTTCCTGGCGCATCTTTTTTCTCATCATAAATTTTTTGTATTTGTATACAATTCTGAATCAATATACAATTTTTGAATTAATATACAACTTTAAAAAAAATTTCGTTGGTAAACGTTGTGTACTTCAGCTTCGTGAATTGAATTTTCGAATTTGGAATTTTAAAGAAACTTATTCCGAAATTTGGAAACACAATTATACAACTTTGGCAAAAATGAGAAAAAGAATTGTGAAAATTTGACACGTCATAAGATTACTATTCAAAAAAACACGTGAAATCAGAAAAGGCCAACTTCAAGTTAGGACAGAAAGACAGACCAAACATTTTATTATTATATAATTATTTAATTAATTTTTTTTACAGAGAAATTTTGACAAAAAAAATTATTTTCTCATCGTGATATTTTATTTGTGCCACAAATAATTTTTTTACTGAGAAAATTTAAAAATAAGTAAATTTCTCATCGTAATATTTTTTTGTGCTACGTATAATTTTTTTGTTAAATTTTTTTACAGAGAAATTTTTACAACAAAATTATTTTTCATCGTGATTTTTTTTAAAAACACAAATTTTTTTTTTCAAAGAAAATTTGAAAAAAAATTATTATTTTATCATTGTGATATTCTTTTGTGCTACGAATAAATTTTTGGTAAATTTTCGTAGTAAAAAAAATCAACGATTTATTACGGTATTTAGTGAATTAATTGTTTTGGAGAGAAAATTTGACAAAAAAGTTATTTTCTTATCGTGATAATTTTTTTAGGCCACAAAATATTTTTTTTACAGAGAAAATTTAAAGATAATTAAATTTCTCATCTTGATATTATTTTTGTGCTACAAATATTTTTTTGTTACATTTTCGTTGTAAAAAA